ATAGTATCTGTCTTAGTTATCTAGTGCTGCTATAACAGAAATACCACAAGTGGATGGCTTTAACAAACAGAAATTTATTCTCTCACAGTTTGGGAGGCTAGAAGTCCAAATTCAGGGCCCCTGCTCTAGGGGAAGGATTTCTCTGTCAGCTCTGGGGGAAGGTCCTTGTCATCAATCTTCCCCTGGTCTAGGAGCTTCTCAGCACAGGGACTCTGGGTCCAAAGGATATACTCTACTCCCAGCTCATCTTTCTTGGTGGTAGGAGGTCCCTAATCCTCTTTCACATAACCTAATCTTGCCTCATTAACCACAGGCAGAGATCAGGATTTAGAACACATAGGAAAATCACATCAGATCACAAAATGGTGGCCAACCATACAATACTGGGAATCATGGCCTAGCCAAGATGATACACATTTTGGGGGGATGCAATTTAATACATAACAATATTAAACAGTTTACCAAGAGTCTTGTCTCGCACAAATATCTGATCCAATGATGGTGATATTTTGCATATTTCTATTGCCACCTGTGATGGTTAAGGTTGTGTGTCAGCTTCACTGGGCCATGATTCTCAGTGGTTTGGCACTTGTGATACAGCTTGGCAGTCGTATGACATTGTGATCACTTCCAAGATGAGATTTGATATAATGTGATCACTCCATGATGGAATCTGCTGTGAGTAGCCAATTGGTTGAAAGAGAGTTTCCCTGGGTGTGTGGCCTGCATTGACTATAACTGGACATTCTGCCAAGGCTTATGGGCTTTTGCTCACTTTGGATCCTTTATCTGGCTCCTGTTCATCTGACCTCTGGTTTTTGGGACCTGGGCTAGCAGCTTACCTGTGGTCTTGCCTGCCAATCTTGGGATTCATCGATCTTCGCAGCCTGTGAGCAAGAGCCATGTTCTCTCACCTGCCAATCTTGGGTTCACCAGCCCCTGCAGCCACATGAATGAGATGCCTCTATCCTGACCCACGGACTTGGGACGTTCCAGCCTCTACAACTGCATGAGCCATTTCCTTGATATAAGTCTCTCTCTGTATTTTTATATTTAACTGGTTTTTACTTCTCTAGAGGACCCAGCCTAAGACACCACCTAACGCCATGGATTAGCAATGTACTCTTTACTACCGGAAACAGGGTCATTAGTGCCTTTAAGACTATTCAGACTTTAGAACCAATTCAGAAAAATCATTGTCAAGATTTTCTTCTTCTAGAACCACTTTTGGTACCAAATGTTTTAGGCTGGGTTCTCTACAGAGGAGCATAACCAGTGAAGTGTATATATAAATAGAGAGAGACTTACTTCAAGGAAATGGCTCATGCAATTTTGGGGGCCGGTAAATCCCAAATCCATGGGTCAGGCCACAGGCTGAAGACTTCTCCAGACTCATGTGGTTGCAGGGGCTGAAGAACCCAAAATCTGCAGGTCAGGCAGCACGTTGAAGGCTTCTCATATCCCAAGAAACGAAGGTCAGATGAGGAGACAAGTAAAACAATCAAGAGAGAGAAAGAAGGAGGGAGGGAAGGAAGGAGAGAGAAGAGAGAGTGCATGAGCTTTGCCAGAACATCCATTTTTATACTGGATGCAAGCCAGACCCCGAAGGAAACTACCCTTCCAACTGATTCGCTGCTTACATCACTAAGACTAATAGCTTAGCCACACTGACCCGTAACATTAACCATCAGTTTGTTATATTACTGAAGCCATAGCAGTGTAGGATATATCTTATGCCAATCACTTTTTTTTTATTGTTGTGCTTTAAGTGAAAGTATACAATTCAAGTTAGTCTCTCATACAAAAATTTATACATATACTGTTATGTGACCCTAGTTGCTCTCCCTATAATGTGACACACACTCTTCCTTTCCATGCCGGATTTCCCATGTCCATTCAACCAGCTCCTGACCCTCTCTGCCTCCTCATCTCACCTCTGGACAGGAGCTGCCCATTTAGTCTCATGTATCTACCTGAGCTAAGAAGCACACTCTTCACGAGTATCATTTTATATCCCATAGTCCAGTCTAATCTTTGTCTGAAGAGCTGGCCTCGGGAATGGTTTTAGTTTTGGGCTAACAGAGAGCCTGGGGGCCATGTCTTCCAGGGACCCTCCAGTCTCAAACCATTAAGTCTGGTCTTTTTACTAGAATTTGAGTTCTGCACCCCACTTTTCTCCTGCTCTGTCAGGGACTCTCTGTTGTGTTCCCTGTCATGGCAGTCATTGTGGTAGCTGGGCAACATCTAGTTCTTCTGGTCTCAGGCTGATGAAGTCTCTGGTTTATGTGGCCCTTTCTGTCTCTTGGGCTAATACCTTCCTTGTGTCATTGGTGTTCTTCATTCTCCTCTACTCCAGGTGGGTTGGGACCAATTGATGCATCTTAGATGGCCGCTCACTAGCTTTTAAGACCCCAGACACCACTCACCAAAGTGGGACGCAGAACATTTTCTTAAAGAACTGTTACACCAACTGACCAAGATGTCCCCTGAAAGCATGGTCCCCAGACCCTTACCCCTGCTACTCTGCCCCTCAAAGTGTTTGGTTGTATTCAGGAACCTCCTTAGCTTTGGTTTAGTCCAGTTGTGCTGACTTCCCCTGTAGTATGTGCTGTCCTTCCCATCACCTAAGATAATTCTCGTTTACTATCTAGTTAGTGAATTCCCCTCTCCCTCCCTCCCCACCCTTGTAACCATCAAAGAATGTTGTCTTTTGTGTAAGCCAATCACTTTTGAGACATAAAAAAAGCAGATTAGGCACAGAAGGGAGGAAGCACAGATGCAGGAAAATACATGCCATACTACATGAAGATCCCTACTGAATCAAGGAACAGAAGCCGAAAACAGGTAAGGACTTCCCCCAGAGCCAACAAAGAGAGAAAGCCTTCCCATAGAGCCAGTGCCCTGAATTTGGACTTCTAGCCTCATAAACAGAAAACAAGTCTTCTGTTTGTTAAAGCCACCCACTTGTGGTTTTTCTGTCATAGTAGCACTAGATTAACTAAGACAGAGCCCTGGCAGTGCAGTGGTTAAGAGCTATGGCTGCTAACCAAAAGGTCAGTAGTTGGAATCCACCAGCTGCTCCTTGGAAACCATATGGGGGCAGTTCTACTCTGTCATATAGGGTCGCTATGAGTCAGAATCAACTCAATGACAATGGGTTAGATAACTGAAGCAGTTCGTATTTTTTGTAAATTTTTAAATTTGAAGTGTATTTTCATTCAGTATACAAATCTTAAGGGGTTGGCTCAATTAGTTTTTTACAAAGGGAACACACTCATGTTATCACCACAAAGTTTAAATTACAGGATATTACCAGCATCTGGTAGCCTCCCTTCTACCTCTCAATCATAACCCTGCCTAAAGGTGACCATTATTCTGACTACTACAATAATAGATTATTTTGCCTGTTTTTGAACTTTATATAAATGGGATCATGCAATATGTACTCACTGGTGTCTGGCTTCTTTCACTCTACATTTTGTCAGTGCTATTCACCCATAATACTGCAACTATTAGTAGTTTATTCTTTTTCATTAAGATGCAGAATTCTGTATTAATATAACACTATTTATCCCTTTAATTTCGGACTGCAGAAGGTCGTAAAAATCTTCAATTTCTTCATCTTTGGCATTAGTGGTTAGTGCATAAATTTGAATAACAGGCATATTAACTGGTCTTCTTTGTAGGCTTATGGATATTATCCTATCACTGACAGTGTTGTACTTCAGGATAGATCTTGAAATGTTCTTTTTGACAATACAAGCAACACCATTCCTCTTCAATGTGTCATTCCCGGCATAGTAGACCATATGATTGTCCAATTCAAAATGGCCAATACCAGTCCATTTCAGCTCACTAATGCCTAGGATAATGATCTTTATGCATTCCATTTTATTTCTGACAACTTCCAATTTTCTTAGATTCATACTTTGTACATTCCACGTTCTGATTATTAATGGATGTTTGCAGCTGCTTCGTCTCATTTTGAGTCATACCACATCAGCAAATGAAGGTCCCGAGAGCTTTACTCTATCCACATTATTAAGGTTGACTCTATTTTGAGGAAGCAGCTCTTCCCCAGTTGTATTTTGAGTGACTTCCAACCTGAGGGTCTCTCCTTCTGGCACCATATCAGACAATGTTCAGCGGCTATTCATAAGGTTTTCACTGGCTTTCTTCCATGTCTGTTTTAGTCTGGAAGCTCCGCTGAAACCTGTTCACCACAGGTGACCCTGCTGGTATTTGAAATACTGGTGGCATTTTCCACATGTTCCAACTTCTCCACATCCTCCTCAACACTTGTTATTTTCCAGTTTTGCTGTTGTTTTCATAACTGCCATTCTAGTGAATGTGAAATGGTATATCGTTGTGGCTGTTTTGCATTTCCCTAATGGCTAATGATGTTGAAAATCTTTTCATATGTTTGTTGGCCATTTGGATATCTTCTTTGAAGAAATGTCTGTTCAAATTCTTTGCCCATTTTTGAACTGGGTTGTTGGTCTTTTTGTCATTGAGTTTTAAGAGTTCTTTATATATTCTAGATATTAAATCCTTATCTGATATACGGTTTCCAAATATTTTCTCCCATTCTGTAGGTTGTCTTTTCACTTGCTTGATGTCCTTTGACACCCATAAGTTTTAATTTTGATGAAATCCAGTTCATCTATTCTTCCTCTTGTTGCTTGTGCTTTTTTATCTAAGAATCCATTATGTAAAATAAGGTCCTGAAGCTTTACCCTTATATTTCCTACTAAGAGTTTTATGGTTTTAGCTCTTATATTTAGGTCATTAATACATTTTAAATTAATTTTTGTGTATTGTGTGAGACATGGGTCAAACTTCATTATTTTGGATGTGGAGATCCAGTTGTCCCAGCACCATTTGTTGAAGACTATTCATTCCCCCACTGAATAGATTTGGCACCCTTACCAAAAGTCAGCTGGCCATAGATGTATGGTTTATTTCTAGATACAATTCTATTCCACTGATCTGTATGTATATTCTTATCCCAGTACCACACTCTCTGCCACTAACTGGCCTAGCTCGTATCCCATGTAGCGGCTTACTCAGCTTTCTCATCTGCTGCTCTCCTAGCAACAGGTCTCCACCATCAGGCTTCTCTGCTGTTGGGCCTGTGCCATCGGGCACTCTGCCATCAGGCTATCTGCCATCGGCATTTTCGCTGCTAACTACCCCAGTTCATAGCCAGTGTAGCAGCTTGCTCAGCTCTCTTAGCTGCTCTCTGCCATCAGGTCTCCCCATCATAGACCTCTTCACTAACAGGCCCAGCTCATAGTGAGTGTAGCAGCTTCGGGACCACTCGGCTCCCACGCGGCTATGCTTCTATGCCAGCCCAGGTTAGTCGGCATCTCTCTCTCAACCAAGAGGACTTTAAGACCTCTCCATTTCAACTGTTCATATATCCCAATCCTGATCAGTTACAAGGTGGGGCCTCCCTCACTAGACCAGAGTGCAACCAATCCTCAATTACCCATGAGATGTCAATCAATTCAGGTCAGGCCAGACAAAAGTATCAAACCATCAAGTTGTTTAGGCTTACCCAGGAAATGTCAATCAACCTGGGGAATTCCCTGGGCAAAAGTAACAAATCCTCTGGGGTAGAAAACAATCTGGGATTCCAAACTTGAGGCCGAGAATAATATACTCCAGAAGTTTAGTCCAGCAGCAAGAAGAAAACTTTATAGCAGAATGGTTAAGACCATAGCACTGTAGTCAGACATATCCAGGCGGGAGTCTACCACTTTCAAACTGCGGGACCTTGAGCAAGTTATACAATCATTTTAAGCCTCGGTTCTGTCATTGGTGTTAATAATGGATACAAAGATTTAATCACAAAAACTGTTTAGGACAGTGCCTAGTACATTTAACAATCAGTAATCTGGAGTGTTATTACATCATTCCAATGTCCGTAAGAAAAGAGTATCTATAGCTCAGAAGATCTCCAGAAGTAACTAACTATATCTCCTATATATACACAGGATTTACCAACTCATGTATAACAGAGTCACATTAACAATATTTACCAAGTTCTTCTGGCTCCTGACATTCCAATTAATACAGAAACTCCACCCTTACCAGCTCCCCTGCCCCTCAGTGTACTCCTGCAAATTCTCCAATAAGTGTCTCTGAGACCAAGTCCTTACCTTCCAGGTGGTGTTCCTATCATTCTTTCCTCTGGCCGCTATGGTGGTGTCTGCAGCTAAGGGCTTCACTGCCTTCTAAGATGCATTGAGATTTCTCTCCACTACTTTTACACTTTCCTTAAAATGTTTTTTTCACTTTATAAAAAGGGCATCACGCTGTATATAATCTTTTGGAAATGATTTTTTTCACTTAATATTGTATTGCTAAGATTCACCCATATAGTTGTGTCATTGTAGCTAATTTGTTTTGGCTGTTGTACCACATCATTCATTCTTCTGATGACACCTGAGTAGTTCCTAGGTTTTTGCTATTGTGAAAGTGTTATAATGTATATTCTTGCCTATATTTCTTACTGTACATATAAAAGTCTCTCCGAGTATACACCTAAGAGTGGTATTGCTGGATTGTACAGCATGTAGATGTTCAACTTTACATGCTACTTACATTCACGTATTATATTTTTCATATCTTTTTACTTTGATTTCCTGTTCCTGCTTCAGTTTTGCTTCTCTTTGAGAACACTTATTATATTTATTTTAAATTCTTGTTCTACCCATTACACTAATTCTGCTTCAGAAGTCGCCATGAGTCGGAGCCGACTCAACAACAATGAACAACAACAAACGTATTTAAAGGTTGGATAATATACACACGACTCTTTACAGTGGTCATTTCTGAAGGGTTGAGACTATGGAAAAACATCAGTTCAACTGCCGTGGACATCATTTCATTTTATTATATAAAATATAGAAAACCTTGATGAGGAAAAACAGGGAAAGGAATTATTAGATAATTTTTTCAGGAAAGCAGTATTTGCTGAAGGATACTTTTGTTCTAGCCATGATGAATATCTGTCTTCTTGGCAATCCACAGCAAAGTATCAGGCAGATCTCTCCCACTCATCCCTGAGCCTTGGTCCTAGATTTGAGTACGATTTTAGGTTGAGGAAATAGGAAAATAACCAAAATAAGAACACTGTTCATGAAAGCCAAGCTCAGACACGGACCCTTTTACTCTGCTGAATACATCAGGAACAGGATCAAAGTTCCTCAAGGCATATCTCCTGTTCATTTCTTTTTTTTGGTTTTGGGCTCCAGTGTGGAGGTGGGCACCCAACCACCCTTCCTCCACTCACAGATGTCTACATAGTTGCATGTGCGGCACTTCCAAGCCTCCTCCACATCAACCCCTTGAGGTTCTCGGTGGCCCATCCAGTAGGCCATATAGTGCTGCACCTTGCCTTTCATCTCCTTCTCTTCAAAGGCAACAATCTCTGTACCCAGCACAGTGGCAGTGTCTTGGTGGATATATTCAATTTTTAGGATATCAATGACTGGGAGGTCAGACAATGTTAGAGCTAAAAATACCAGCTCCATGAGGTCACCTAAGGACTTCACACAGAAGCCTCCCTGCTGGGCATGCCTCAGCACTGAGGGCCCCAGTGGCTTTTCGGGACACAATTTTGTATGGTGGATTAGGCTAGCAGGGGTCACTTTCCCTTGTACCATGGCATCAAAGATATATTTGTATAGATTGACTTGAAAATAGTCTTTCCTTTTCTGAGCTTCCACAGGAAGCATGGGATGCCTCCGTGTCTTGAGTTCAGCCAGTTCCAGTTCCCCCTTAGCTGTATAGTGTAGCTCATCAATCACCCCAACAAGAAGCACACCCTCTACTTCTCCAAACACTGGAAACTCTCTGATGTGCCCCTCTGACTGCAGCGTAGGAATCATTGATAGTATGTTCAGAAACTTTATTGCCCAAGCATCTTCTTTGGTGGTGATGGGAATAGTCACAAGATCATGAACTTCTAGTTCTCTAGCTAGGTGGATGCTAGCACCAGTGTCCAAAAGAGCTGCCTTCTCAGGTGTCAAGAAGCCAGGAAACTCCTTTCCATATACCATTTGCTGTTCACACCAGTTCTGAGTAGACAGGTCAGTGACACACAAGTATTTAAAATGGAATCGCTCCATGGGTGATGAGACATCCAATCCTCTTTTCCACTTCTGTAAGCTTCTGGGCTTTCCATCGTTCCCAGAGAGTTCACAAGAAGGGCCAGGCTTGCTAAGTGAAGCATCTAACCCTTGGGCATCTTCCAGGTCCAGGAACTCTGAGTCACTCAGGTCTGAGAACCCCAAGGCCTCTGCTGACACCTTCTCCTCTTCACCAGTCTCTGCCATGGCACAACTCTGGATTGGGCAAGGAATGTCCTACATAATGGGTTAAAAAAATGTATTATACAAATAAAAAAATTCTCAAAAGCACTTTCAAATACCAAGGAGATAAAAAGAATCATGGCTAGTTATTTATAAGGCTTTACAGAAGCTTATTTACTTATAACCAATTAGTAATACCATAGAGTTATAACTCTATAGAATAGCATACACTTTACAATAGGATGCCTTGTGTTATCCATAAGGGTCCCCAGGTGGCACAAATGGTTTGCCCTTGACTACTAAAAATTGGCAGTTCGAACCTACCCAACAGAACCAGGGAAGAAAGGCCTGCCTCCGTAAAGATTACAGTTATGAAATCCCTGTGGAGCAGTTCTACTCTGTAACACGGGGCTGCCATGAGTTTGAATCAATGCAATGGCTATGGGGTTGGTGTTTTTGTTTTGTTTTGTATTGGTGTTATCCATATATGCCCAGTTGGAAGAAATTTTTTAACTAGAGAAACAGTTTTATTCCTCAAACAGTCACTAACATACTATGTGACTTTAACCAAATTACCTTGTTGTTGTTGTTGTTAGATGCCCTTGAGTCAGTTCCAACTCATAGCGATCCCACGTACAACAAAACGTAACACTGCCTGGTCTTGCCATCCTCACAGTCATTGTTATGCTTGAGCCCACTGTTGCAGCCACTGTGTCAATTCATCTCATTGAGGGTCTTCCTCTTTTTCTTTTTCTTTTTTTTTATATTTTATTGTACTTCAGGTGAAGGCTTACAGAACAAATAGTTTCTCATGAAACAGTAGTACACATGTTGTTTTATGACATTGGTTAACAACCCCACAATATATTAACCCTCTAACTTCTCAACCTTTTTTTTTTTTTGGTGAAAATACACATAGCCAAAGATACGCCGTTTCAAAAATTTCTACATACACAGTTCAGTGACATTGACCACACTCTTCCAATTGTGCTGTTATTCTCACTTAAGATGAAGGCTTACAGAACAAAATAGCTTCTCATTTAACAGTTACTACAAATGTTGCCCTATGACAATGGTTAACAATCTCATAACACATCAACACTATCCTTACTCAACCTTGGGTTCCCTATCACCAGCTTCCTTGTCCCCTTCTGCCTTCTGGCCCTTATCACTGGACTCCTGTACCTCGTTAGTCTCATTTGGTTTTACAGGGCTGTCCACTCCCAGGCTGAACGGTGAACCTCGGAGATAACTTCACCACTGAGCTAAAAGGGTGTCTGGGGGCCATACTCTGGAGGTTTCTCCAGTCTCCTTTAGGCCAGTAAATCTGGTATTTTTTTTGTGAGTTAGAATTATGCTCTACATCCTTCTCCAGCTCTGTCCAGAACCCTCTGTTGTGATCCTAGTCAGAGCAGTCAGTGGTGGTAGCCAGGCACCATCTAGCTGTACTGGACTCAGTCCAATGGAGGCCTTGGTAGCTGTGGAAAATTAGTCCTTCGGACTAATCTTTTCATTGTATCCTGTTCTCTTCATTCTCCCTTGCTCCAGGAGGGATGAGACCAGTGGAGTATCTTAGATGGCCGCTCACAGGCTTTTAGGGTCTTCCTCTTTTTCATTGACCCTCTACTCTACCAAGCATGACGTCCTTCTCCAAGGACTGGTCCCTCCTGATAACATATCAAAGTATGTGAGACAAAGTCTCTCCATCCTTGCTGCTAAGAAGTATTCTGGCTGTACTTGTTCCAAGACAGATTTGTTTATTCTTCTGGCAGTTCATGTTATATTCAATATTCATCCCTAACACCATAATTCAAAGGTGTCAATTCTTCTTCAGTCTTCCTTATTCATTGTTCAGCTTTTACATGAATATGAAGGGACTGAAAACACCATGGCTTGGATAAGGGGCACCTTAGTCCTTAAAGTGACATCTGTGCTTTTTAATACTTTGAAGGGATCTTCTGCAGCATATCTGCCCAAAGGAATGTGCTGTCTGATTTCTGACTGCTGCTTCCATGGCCATTGACGGTGGGTCCAAGTAAAAAGATATCTTTCACAACTTCAATATTTTCTCCGTTTATCATGATGTTGCTTACTGGTCCAGTCGTGAGGGTTTTTGTCTTCTTTCTGTTGAGGTGTAATCCATACTGAAGACTGTGGCCTTTGATCTTCATTAGTAAGCGCTTCAAATCCTCTTCACTTTCAGCAAGCAAGGTTGTGTCATCTGCATATCGCAGGTTGTTAATGAGTCTTCCTCCAATCCTGATGCCACGTTTTTCTTCACATGGTCCAGCTTCTCGGATTACATGCTCAGCGCACAAACTGAATAAGTATGGTGAAAGGATACAACCCTGACACACACCATTCCTGACTTTAAACCATGTGGTATCCCCTTGTTCTGTTCAAACAGCTGCCTCTTGGTCTCAGCAGAGATTCCTCATGAGCTAGAATTCCCACTCTTCGGAATGTTATCCATAATTTGTTATGATCCACACAGTTTAGTGCCTTTATGTAGTCAATAAAACACAGGAAACATCTTTGAAGTTGTCAAGGATTTCATTTTACTTGGATCCACAATCAACACCCATGGAAGCAGCAGTGAAGAAATCAAAAAACACATTGCATTGGGCAAATCTGCTGCAAAAGACCTCTTTAAAATGTTAAAAAGCAAAGGTGTCACCTTGAAGACTAAGGTGTGCCTGACCCAAGCCATAGTGTTTTCAATCGCCTCATATGCGTCCAACAGCTGGACAATGAAATCAGGAAGATCGAAGAATATACACCTTTGAGTTATGGTGTTAGCGAAGGAATACTGATTATACTATGGACTGCCAAAAGAACAAAAAATTTGTCTTGGAAGAAATACTGCCAAAATGCTCCTTAGAACCAAGGATGGCAAGACTACATCTCACATGTTATCGGGAGGAATCAGTCCCTAGAGAAGGACATCATGCTTGATAAAGTAGAGGGTCATCAAAAAAGAGGAAGACCTTCAACAAAATGGATTGACACAGTGGCTGTAACAATGGGCTCAAGCATAACAACGATTGTGAGGACGGTGCGGGACTGGGCCGTGTTTCATTCTGTTGTACGCAGGTTTGCTATGAATCAGAACCGACTCAATGGCACCTAACAACAACAAACATCTTTCTGGTATTCTCTGCTTCCAGCCACGATCCATCTGACATCAGCAATGATATCCCTTGTTCCATGTCCTCTTCTGAATCTGGCTTAAATTTCTGGCAGTTAGCCCTGTCTATGTACTGCTGCAACCACTTTTGAATGATCTTCAGCAAAATTTAACTTGTACATGATATTAATGACATTGTTCGATAATGTCCGTATTCTGTTGGATTCTTTGGAACGGGTACAAATATGGATCTCTTCCAGTCGGCTGGCCAGGCAGCTGTCTTCCAAATTTCTTGGCATAGATAAGTGAGCACCTCCAGCGCTGCATCCATTTGCTGAAATATCTCAGTTGGTATTTGGTCAATTCCTGGAGCCTTGTTTTCCGCCAGTGGCTTCAATGCAGCTCAGACTTCTTCCTTCAGTACCATAGGTTCTTGATCATATGCTACCTCCTGAAATGGCTGAATGTCAACCAATTCTTTTTGGTATAGTGACTCTATGTATTCCTTCCATCTTCTTTTGATGCTTCCTGCATTGGTTAGTATTTTCCCCATAGAATCCTTCAATATTGCAACTCGAGGCTAGAGTTTTTTCTTCAGTTCTTTCAGCTTGAGAAATGCCGAGTGTGTTGTTCCCTTTTGGTTTTCTAACTCCAGGTCTTTGCACATTTCATTATAATACTTTACTTGGTCTTCTCTAGCCACCCTTTGAAATCTTCTGTTAGGCTCTTTCACTTCATCATTTCTTCCATTTGCTTTAGCTGCTCTACGTTCAAGAGCGACTTGCAGAGTCTCTTCTGACATCCATTTTGGTCTTTTTTTTTCTTTCCTGTCTTTTTAATGACCTCTTGCTTTCCTCATATATGATGTCCTTAATGTCATTCCACAACTCGTCTGTTCTCTGGTGATTAGTGTTCAATGTGTCAAATCTATTCTTCAGATGGTCTCTAAATTCAGGTGGGATATACTCAAGGTCTGAGTACATGTATATGGCTTCAATTTCTTCAAGTTTAAAAGATGTGAGGTTCACCTTTTCTTCTCCCAAATTCTACTGATTGGGAACATTGTTTCATTATTTTAAGTGAATAAAGATCTTTGTAAATATTGGAGCAATGTCTTGACAGTTTACCATAGGTCACTTGTACAATTCTTTTGATATAGAGTCCTTGACCAGGAAAATAAACCTTAATTATAGATTGTTCCTTGAGAAAAATCAACTCTGCAATGACCTTCTAAATCCAGTTCTCAGGAACACAGTGTAGCAAAATTCAATGACCAACTACAAATAAATACAAACAGACCTACTCATGCACAAAAGAATAACATGAAGTAATGAGAGAGTATGTTCAGAGCAACCTGTGGAAATTAGTTACTTTTCACGCTTGAGATATATTAAGAAAATGGCAAGGAAAAAAAGGCTCTTGGTGGGATGTAACTTACCTTTATTGATTTTCAATAATAGTTAATATTTATTGTGTAGTTATTATGTGCTAGACACAGAGCCCAGAACTTCATATCCAGTATCTCACTACCCTGCTATGGGACAGGTACTTTTTAAAAACTTTTTACTATGAATATTTTCAAGCATACAGAAAGTAGGCAGAGCAACGACCACCCATATACACACTATGGAGATTAACAACTGTTGACATTTTGCTGTGTTTTCTCCATATGTTTACATATCTTTATTTTTTGCTGAACCATTTAAAAGTAATTACAGACAACAGAACACTTCAAATCTAAATGCTTCAGCATACGTTTCCAAATAAGGACATTCTCCTACATAACCACAATGTTATCATCAAATTTAATAAAACTGATAATTCCCTAAAACCTCAGTCCATATTCAAATATCACCAACTGTCCTAAAAATGTCTTCAAACCAAACCAAACCTGTTGCCATCGAGTCAATTCTGACTGATAGCGACCCTACAGGATAGACTACAACTGCCCCATAGCATTTCCAGGGAGTGGCTGGTAGATTCAAACTGCTGACCTTTTGGTTAGCAGCCGTAGCTCTTAACCACTACACCACTAAGGCTCCAAAAATGTCTTGGGTGCTTTTTTTTAAACCAGGAAATAAAGACTACATATGATGTTTCATTGTGTTGTCTCTCAAGTATTTTTAATCTCAAGAAAGTAGGCAAATTATCTATCCTTTTTTCTAACCTCACATGCCTAACCTTGAATACAGAAAAAACAAAAACAAAACAGGTACGACCCGGTCACTAGTTGACTTTGGGTGCCAGGAAAATAAATAATTTGACACAGAATTAAAGTTTATCCAGGTAACTATGAACCAAGTGTTTCCTCCTGGCTATTCTAATAAGCGATAAATTGAACGTATTGACTCCCATATTAAAAGCTGAAGAGATGATGCCCTGAAAACTGTCTTAATATTAATTGTGGCTGTACTTAACTGATTTTTACAATAATCTAAATGTCACTAATTGAAAAAACATATATAAGAAAAGTTATTTGCAATGAATAAAAGTAATCCAATGCTAAGACCTTTGCTTATGTTCTATAACGTTATTGGTTTATAGGATACTTTGATAGTAATAAAACACAGAAGCAGCACATTTGCCCAAGTGTCTTAAATTGTAAATGTGCTTTAAATTTAAATGATGATAGTTTCAAGTATTTGGACTTTGAAGTCCCTGAAAGTTAGAGAGAATCTTTGCCCCTCCATCAAGAAACTTAGTCAAATGACAATTAATATGTATACTTTCTTTTTTCTTGGGAGAAATAGGAAATAAATCCAAATCAATTGACCTTAAAAATATTTTATTTCAAATATCTAGACTGCGGTTGTCTATTATAATAGCCACTACCCACAAGAGCCAAAATACAACCTTGAGTATATCCCACCTGAATTTAGAGACCATCTCAAGAATAGATTTGACGCACTTAACACTAATGAGCGAAGACCAGACAAGTTGTGGGATAACATCAAGGACATCATAAACGAAGAAAGCAAAAGGTCATTAAAATAATAGGAAAGAAAGAAAAGACCAAAATGGATGTCAGAAGAGACTGTGAAACTTGCTCTTGAATGCAGAGCAGCTAAAGCAAATGGAAGAAATGATGAAAAGAGCTGAACAGAAGATTTCAAATGATGTCTTGAGAATTCAAAGTAAACTAATGAAATGTGCAAAGACCTGGAGTTAGAAAATTAAAAGGGAAGTACACACCTGGCATTTCTCAAGATGAAAGAACTGAAGAAAAAAATTCAAGCCTTGAACTGCAATACTGAAGGATTCTATGGACAAAATGTTGAGCAACACAAGAAGTATCAAAAGAAGATGGACGCAATACACAGAGTCACTGTATCAAAGAGAACTGGCCAACATTCAATATTCCAGGAGGTGGCATATGATCAAGAACCGATGATACTTAAGGAAGAAGTCTAAGCTGCACTGAAGGCACTGACAAAAAACAAGACTCCAGGAAGTGACAGAATACCAAACGAGATGTTTCAACAATGCACCACTGGAGGTGCTTGCTCGTCTATGCCAAGAAATTTGGAAGACAGCTACCTGGCCAACCTACTGGAAGAGATCCATATTTGCACCCATTCCAAAGAAAAGTGATCCAAAAGAATGCGGAAATTATCAAACAGTATCGTTAATATCATACGCAAGTACAGTTTTGCTGAAGAATATTAAAAAATGGTTGCAGCAATACATCAACGGGGAACTGCCAGAAATTCAAGCCAGATTCAGAAGAGGACATGGAACCAGGGATATCACTGCTGATGTCAGATGATCTTGGCTAAAAGCAGAGAATACCAGAAAGATGTTTATCTGTGTTTTATTGACTATGGAGAGGCATTCAACTGTGTGGATCACAACAAATTATGGATAACATTTTGAAGAACAGGAATTCCAGAACACTTAATTGTGCTCATGAAGAACCTATACATAGACCAAGAGGCAGAAATTCAAACAGAACAAGGGGATACTGCATGGTTTAAAATCAGGAAAGGTGTGCGTCAGGGTTGTATCCTTTCATCATACTGATTCAATCTGTGTGCTGAGCAAATAATCCGAAAAACTGGACTATATGAAGAAAAACACGGCATCGGGATTGGAGGAAGACTGATTAACAACCTGCAATATGCAGATGACACAACCTTGCTTGCTGAAAGAGGATGTGAAGCATTTACTGATAAAGACCAAAAACTACAGCCTTCAATATGGATTGCACTTCAACATTAGACAAAAATCCTCACAACTGGACCAATAAGCAACATCATGATAAACAGAGAAAATACTGAAGTTGTCAAGGATTTCATTTTACTTGGATCCACAAATCAACGCCCATGGAAGCAGGAGTCAAGAAATCAAACAACATACTGCACTGGGAAAATCTGCTACAAAAGACCTCTTTTAAAGTGTTAAAAAGCAAAGCTGTCACTTTGAAGACGAAGGTGCACCTGACCCAAGTCATGGTATTTTCATTTGCCTCATATACATGCAAAAGCAGGATAATATATATAAAGGTGACAGAAGAAGAACTGATGTCTTTGAATTATGGTGTTGGCGAAGAATACTGAATCTACCATGGACTGCCAAAAGAATGAGGAAATCTGTTGTGGAAGAAATACAGCCAGAATGTTCCTTAGAAGCAAGGATGGCAAGACTTTGTCTCAGATACTTTGGACATGTTATTAGGAGGGACCAGTCCCTGGAGAAGGGCATCATGCTTGGTAGAGGGTCAGTGAAAGAGAGGAAGATCCTCAACGAGATGGAATGACACAGTGGCTGCAACCATGGGCTCAAGTATAGCAACGTTTGTGAGGGTGGTGCAGGACCGGGCAGTGTTTCGTTCTATTGTACACAGGGTTGCTATGAACCAACTCAGTGGCACCTAATAACAAAGCCACGTGTGGCTATTTAAAAGTAAATGAAATAAATTTAAAATTTACTTCCTCAGTCACAGTAGCCACATTTCAAATGATCAGTAGCCACATGTGGCTAGTAGGTACTATACTGGACAGCACAAATACAGAATACCGTCTTCATCACAGAAAGTTCCATCTGACAACACTGATTTAAATAATTTCATGTGTATGTATTAACTCCCCAAAGATCGAGTAAGCTCCTGAAAGGTACAGACTTTCTACTTGTTTTGCATACAACATCAAGAATAGGACAGTACTAAACAGAAACCCTGGTGGCATAGTGTTTAAGAGCTATGACTGCTAACCAAAAGGCTGGCAGTTCGAATCCACCAGGCACTCCTTGGAAACTGTATGAAGCAGTTCTACCCTGTCCTATAGGGTCGCTATGAGTCGGAATTGACTCGACAGCAATGGGTAAACAGGTAAAGGTGAAATGTCTTACGGAGAAGACACAAAGGTGGACATTCCCTGTGGAATTATTTATCTGAAAGAAGTAAACGATATCCTAGGGATGGACAATTAAGATGCAGATGTGTGGTCTGGACTTTAATCCAGCAGAAAATAGAGAACATGATGCAGTGCATGGTGTCCCCAAATGTCGTTTGTATCTCTTTGATAAATGAGATTATATGTGGTACCATGGACCAACATTTTTTATCTTAATAGCTATATATTATTCTAAGATACATCTAAATGTTTTTGTTTAGGTCCATCAGATGTATAATTATACATTATGCATTCATAGCTAACTGTTTCTTAGGACAAGGTTGACTTTTAAAGAGATGTAAGTAAAAAAGAAAAAATATGAGAAAAACAATACAAGTAGTATATAAAACCCATTGCCATCGAGTTGATTCCGACTCATAGTGACCCTACAGGACAGAGCAGAACTGCCCCATAGAGTTTCCAAGGAGCGCCTGATGGATTTGAACTGCTGACCTGTTGGTTAGCAGCCAAAGCACTTAACCACTACACCACCAGGGTTTCCAAGTAGTATATAGGTTTGGGAAAAATCATTAGGTGGTAAGTGAATGAGATGTTTGGGGAACACTGGCATAGTGCCCAGTTTGGGAGTCCTATAGATTTGGATTCTGATCAGGATCCTTACTTGTGTAGTAGTTACCTGCCTTTTGAGTAACCTTGGGCAAGTTTTTAGTTTTCCTCAGGCTACACATCTTCAAAAAAGAGGGTACTCTTTCCTACTCTACTCAGCTACCAAAAGGATCAAGTGATAAAACATAATACACATACTAGCATTTAATATATGTGAATCTCCTTCCCCTTCCCAAGGAAGAGGTAAGATGGTGTATCCATCCCCTCTGACAGATAAGATTAAAGTTTAAAAGGAAAGAAACTCCTACTCACCTGGGACTTGGTTTATCTTCCTCTTTACGGGGAAGGCAGAATGCTGAGATGACAACGCTGGGGGAGGAGAAACAAGCTCTAAGAGACTAGATCTTCATCGAGGCACGCAGACTAGCAACTCTGGGCCATGCCATGGTAGAACGGGGACGTAAGGTCCTTTTTCACATGAACCCTTCCCTCACACTGTGGTGGTGTTTCCTCCTCTTGTTCCACACTACACGAACTGCTGCCCACTCCAGATCTTAGGTAACGCTCCCCTGTCTCCTGGGGCAAATTCTCCATGACTTCGTCGTTTTCCCCACACCTTGGTTACAGTTAATTGATTCAAGCCCTGCTCCCTGAAAGTGAAAGGGTAAAAAAATAACTCAGGTCCCCCAGGGGCTACGACATCAATTTCCTCTTCTACCGCCAGCCTTATCTCACCGACTTGGGCAGAAGACTTCAGGTCAGAGGTTGTTTTCTGTTTTATGGGCTCCTGATTCCTACGGAACTGCCACCAGCTTCACCCTCAACATACTATTCGGTAAATCCCGCACTAGTGGGCTCGGAGTTTCCCCTCAGCGGGGACCTCTCCTCCCCCAAATCACTGTCTCCCAGGGAGCTCTGTGCAGTCCCTAAAGTTTACTGAGCACTTCACCTACAATGTCCTGGAGGAACCAGGAATGAGAATGAGGGGTCACTGGCCTCGGAAAGGGGTCCGCAGGGTTTTCCAAGGACGGAAGGTCCAGAACCCACGGGGTCCTGACCTGCGAAGGGAGACGAGCCGCTCTACCCGGGAGCATTTCCTCCCGGGGAGGGGGTTGAGGGGACACGGCGACCGCGAGGGCTGAGCCTTGGGCTCCAAAACGCAGCACCCTCAGTCTCCCACCATTCGCCGGCCTTCTCCTAACCTCGGATGCTCCGCCGAACCCTGGACTCCACCCGGTTCTGCTGTGACCTCAGAGCTGAGCCCGGACTCTTCCCCCACACGGAGCACGAGTAGGTTGAGCAAAAACCGCTGCTAGAGGCATCCTTCGTTGATGCCTAGCACCTGCCCCAGGACCACCTCTTCCCAGGAGTCTCCGCGGCGCCGCTTAGTTCTCGCGAAGCTTTGGCTGCTCGTGAATACCTCTGGCTGAGAAGCCGAGGGGGGTTCTAATCCGAGAATCGGTTTCTGAGAACTTTCGAAAGCCATCCGGTGCCTCGCTGTGTGCGTTTTAGTGTTTGTGCGTGTCATTTCATTCGGAAAGGAACTACGTTATCGTCTGATCTATAAGCTCCCACTCTGGCGAAGTCTCCCTGCGTTAGTGAGAGCTATGGTAAAGTCTGGCCTGCCGAGAAAGATTCGGCCGTTTCCCTTTCCCCGTTGCACCTAGCTTCTGCCGGTTAAGTGCTGCGACTTTTCTATGCTCCTCTTGGATTCTTTATCCCCGTTTTAGCACCCCACACCACCTTTCCCAGCTGAGAGAACAACTATGAACTCACTTTTCAAAGATGTTGGCGTTCGCCTCATCAATTTCTTTTTTTGTGTTTCATTACGTGTGTGTGGAGGGGGCGGGAGGGTAACATATATTTAAAAAAGCAATTTTAACCATTTTCAAGTATACCATTCGGTGACATTAATTACACTCACTGTGTTATGTCACCACCACTATTCATTTCCAAAAGTTTTTCATCACCTCAAACAGAAACTTAGTACCCGTTAAGCAATAACTCTCGGTTCTCCCCTGCCCCCAGTCACTGGTAACCGCTAATAAACGTTTGTCTGTATGCATTTGCCTGTTCAAGGTATTCCTGTAAGTGGATCCGTGCAATATTTGTCCTTTTGTGCCTGGCTTATTTCGCTCAGCACAGTGTTCTCAATGTTCATTCATGTCATGGCATGTATCACAACTTCATTTATGGCTGAATAATATTCCACTGTATGTACATATCACATTTTGTTTATCTTTAAGGTTGCTTCCACCTTTTGGCTATTGTGAATAAAGCTCTAATGAATATTGATGCACAAGTATCTGTTTGAGTCCCTGCTTTCAAGTCTTTTCGAGTATATATATCTAGGAGTGGAATTGCTGAGTCATATGGTAATTCTGTGTTTAACTTTTTTGATGACTTGCCAAACTGTTTTCCACAGTGGCTGTGGAAGCATTCAGTGTGTATTACGGTGAAAAATATTTTTATGTTTATGTTGTGAAAAGTATATAAAGCATAGTTAAAATTAAATGGATTATATAGGGGATTTGTTCCATTTGTGATTATCTTGCCCTGAGAGATGTGGAAAGAAGAAAGAATGTATGTCAGCATGTTCATGACCTATGAGTATTTTTTTTGTGTGTATATTTTTCAGTTGCTGTATTTTGCTGTACTAAGGAAAAAATAAAGGAACTTAGGTCAATAAGTAAGCCACCATTTCCAGTGTGGCAATTGGAGGACTGAGTGAGCCAATGGGAAATAAATGCCTGTTTCTGATTGAGGAGATGGTTTTATGAGGAGCATGTCCTTGCCTTTGAGTTTGGGAGTGGGGCGAGAGAACTATCACAAATTATATAATGATTATAACAGTTAGGTTTGAGTTCTAAATCAGTTGAGAGATAAGACGAGAGGGTTAGACAGATGGAGAGCAAAATACCAGCTTCATTATTGATGTAACTTAAATCAGAAAACACAGCTTCTATGTGCAGTGAAAATTGGCCTTTCTAATTCTGAATCTGAGAATTAAACTTACCCAGCTAGTCATAAGCACCACTAAGAAACAGAAGACTTCTACATGTGGAGGACTGCCCCTTGTAAAATATGGGTGCTTTGGATAGCTGACTCCCAAGAGAAAGGACAGATGGAGCCTCATATTACCAGTTCTTTTCCCCAAACTCACCAGTCAGGCAAGTCACTCTCCTTCCCTCGGGAAGAGTGAATGAGGGAGTGTAGAGGGGATAAGAATGTTTTATTAATATCCCTCCTGGCAATTTACTTCCAAAAATCAGCCAGCGAAACCCTATGGATCACAATGGTCCCATCCACAACCAATCATGGGGATGGCTCAGGACCAGGCAGCTTTTTGTTCCATTGTACGTGAAGGTCACCTTGAGCTGGGGGCTCACTTGATGGCAGCTAACATCAACAACAATATAGATGGAAACATCAGAGTGGGGAATAAGTATTCCCACATAACAAAAGGGCAAGGGTACTACACTACACATCCTTTTTTGGATAATTCTTTGGGAACTAACTAGCCTCTTTTGTTGAACAAGCATTTGAGATGATTGCTCAGCCATAGCCAAGCCATAGTTCATGAAGAGTTAACCATCATTGAGCCCATTGTTAGATGAAGGGTAAGAGATTGGGAGGGTGTGACACAACCTCTTTGTTTACTACATGATGATTTAAAAAAAGAAAAAGGTCACTGCCTTGAAAATCTAGTTTAGAGCTTATTTTAATGAACCCATATAGGTGAGTGAGGAAGGATTAGGAAAAGGTGTTACTTGCCATCCCTCTTATTCTTCTAGCTAACTAACTGAGGGACCATCAGTAACCTCAGGCTTTAGGTATGTGAATGTACTTGGCACACTCACATATACCTCAAAATTTTCTCTTGAACCAGAAATCAACAAGAATGTGTGTGTGTGCTTCTATTCCTCTTTCATTAAAAGTTCATTTATGATCCACCATCACAACCTAATTCAAAATCTTCATAAGCACAGGACTGGTTCTTCAGTTCCTCATAGGGAACTATTTCTTTATGAGATAGATAGATAGTCTCTCACTGTCTCCATTTATTTCCTGAGTTTTAGCAATATCCCACTCTGGTGGCCCAAACCATCATCTTTGTTTGAGAACTATTTTTCACCTGCCCCTTAATTCACTGCTATAAATACTGCTATTCAGACATGGACATGAATAACAACACTCAGAAGGCCAGGGGCTTCCTGTATCAAGGATAATGACTAATTTCAGAGTATCTCTCTTTACAACCTTACATAATAATGGGTTTATTTTGTTCCATGCCCTCTAAAATCAAGATTCTGATTGCTTTGAGATCTCCTTTGCCTTTCTCCTTTCACCCTATCCTCTTCATGAAGTAGCTATGGTACATTTAAAAAGAAATTCTAAAGACAATTATAAATAACAGTCAAGTATTAAAAATGTCCACCATGATAACAGAGATTAACTGATGGTCTCTTTTCATATTTTGTCTTCTTTCTTTGCCAGTCCTGAATCCAATTTCTATCACGTACAAACATTTGGAATCTAAGGACTAAGCTTTCAACCTATTCTAGTCATAATCTAGAAAACCACAACTCTCCGAATTAACTGATATAATCCTTCTTAGGGTCATTTAATCTCAAATCTTTTCTCCTTTTGGCTCCAGTGTCCTTCCTGGGTGTATTTTTCTCACCAGCATTTAAATTACCTACCATTCCAATTTTCCACAGAATAAAACATGAATTATCCTTGATAATTAATATATATTTTTCTCTCATTGAATGTCATTTATTCATTCAACAGTTCATGTGTTGAGAGGCTACCACAAGCTGGGTACTTTCTTATGATGCATTAAAGATGGATCATACTATTTTTTATAGATGAATGTACTCTGCTATGTAGAGTGGAAAAGCTTGTTCTCTGTGAGACTCAGCAGATCTTATAGAACTACACATCTCGCTCTGGGCATTCTAGAATTGTAATAACTTTATTTTTGAGGACTAAGTGACTGTGTAGCACATGTTTACATTTACATTCTCTGAGGAACTGGAACAGGTTTCTCCACAACTCACAGGCCTTGTGTTCTTTGCTTTATGTGTGGCCCTCTATAGCATTATGATTATACAATATGTAGGTGTCAGTACTATAAGGCACAAGCTATGAATGCTATCCTGCTTTAATATTGTTAGAAAATCCTGAGTTCTCTCCAATTCCCTGGTCCTCTTTCTTCCAAGATTATGCTTGAGCACTTTCTCTTATGGACGTGATTTTTTTTTAATGTTACAAATGTCTTCTACTTTGGTGATAAACTATCTGGGACTTGGGTCCAAGCTAATCTTAAAAAGATCCAAGAACAGTAAGACCAGAGGATGAGTGTAAAGTCAGAAAACCTCTATTTTGCCAGTTTTCTTGAATTTATGCTGAGAGTCTTCTGTGGATGTCCCTATGTTTAATTTAATCCCTTTCTCTAGAGTATTTTTTCATTCTTCCCAAATCTCCTGACAAGAGATCAGAATCTGGGGGGGAACATGTCATGCATAGGTGTGGGAAATCACTGAAGAGGAATGGATTGCAAGATAATGAGTGCTTGGTGTGAAAAACATCAGGAAAACAGCAAAAGGGGATCCTGCTATCTAACCTTGAGCTACCTGTATCAAGGTCTTGATACATTGCCAATTCAAGTTGGATTAAATATAAAAGGTATCCCTAGAATTCCCTTAATAATCTCCAGGTTGAATAGACAATTTTATTACATTAGTGTATGAAAGAACTTTTAAGTAGCAAGTTGCTCAAGATGTATTTGTTGGACCCATTTGAATAAGCCAAGGCAGTCTGTGAAATTCCACATGACCTCTATCAGAGTAGTCACTTTGTTTTCTTCCGACACGGTTCATTGCCAATGGATCAAAAGGCCAGTTAATTATTAAAAATTCCCTTAATAACTAACTAAATCCCTTTAATAACTAACTAGATTCAGTTCCAAGTCCCATTACTCAGGGAATATAAACAAATCCTGAAGTTTCAAGGCCACCATAATTATCCTCCAGCTGGTTTAAGAGACAACTCAGTCCCAATTGCCATAGAATCAATTCCAACTCATGGTGACTCCATGTGTGTTAGAGTAGAACCATATTCTATAGGATTTTCAATGGCTGATTTTTCAGAAGTAGAACACCGGGCTTTATTTCTAAAGTGCCTTTGGATAGACTTGAACTCCAACCTTTTGTTTAGCAGCCAAGCGCATTAACCATTTGCATCACTCAGGGACCCCAGAAGAGGCAAAGACCTTGATATAGGTGAAAAGTTTATCTTTTCTATTGTCAGACAGATTAAGCCTCTTCATGAAAAAAAATTTCAAAT